GTCCAAAGAACACAATTCCTCATTAGTTTGATGAGTTTGTCAGCTATCTCATAATCTACTCAGATGGCAATGAGGTGAACCCTTATAAACAAAGATTTACTCTGTAGGTGGGAAGAGCTGAGGTGATGTCACATCACCCAAAGTGTATGACGACAAAAGGTCTGAGTCTGTAGCAAAACTAGGAGTTTTGAAACCAGTGCTGATATGTTGCATGCACACACTCACATGCTCTCCACACACACACAGTCAGAGCTCGCTTGTAGGACAGCAGATGCTACTTTGACACAGTGCTGTCAAAACTGGTCAAACTTTACATTCAGTTATTAAAGTTTGAATATCTGTTTTTGCGCATTAAGTCCATAAAACAATACATAACATAACTCTGCTGTCTATTGATCAAAAGACATGACCTTCTCTGATGTGAGTGCTTCTGTGTTGTTAGCAGTGTATTTTTGTTGTTCGAGCTTAACCCAGTTAATTTGGTTTTATTCTTCATTACAGCATAAATTACTGTTTTTCATCACTCTCCACTGAGAACTATAAAAAGCTAGCCCACAGTGGACAGCCAATGGTTTGCGTTACTTTGGACCAGACCTAGGTGACATCCCATGACAATTCTGAACATGCCCACACCCTCAAATGTATATGGACAACCTTGGTATGTAAAAGTTTGGGTTTCCCTGCACTACAGTACAAACAGTTCTCAGTTTGAAAACCACCACAGTGAGCTGAAAAAGGTCTTTGTAAAGTTTGTAATTCATTTTTGGGAACATGCTCATGCAATTGACAGCACAAGTCTGAGAGAGACAGTGTGAGTGAGGAGAATGAGCGCTTTGCAACAAATGTCCTCTTTTTTATGGCCAACTTTCAATCAACAGTGCTGGAACTATTTGCTCTCCTGCTGGCAAACAAACACACAGACGAACACTGAGAAACTGACATATGCACACACACAAACACACGCACACACACACACACACACACACACACACACACACACACACACACACACAAGATGAGGTTTCTATCTGTGATGCAATAAATATGTTTTTCTTAACAAAATGGAAGGTAAAATGATTATAGTGCTATTTTAAAAGTATGAAGTACATTTTCATGATTATAGTGATAATGTTGTGTATCACAATTATTTTGGCCAAGATTATTGTGACATGAAATTTTGCCTAGATCTAACTCTTCCGCACAAACGTACCTGCACACACACACACTAGTGCCTGCTGTGACTGTCCAATCAGATTTAACGTTTGTGTGTTAAAAAGCAGGAGATGAAAGAATAACAGTGGAGATACTAAGAGTTACAGAACCTGAAGGAAGCTAAAGCCTAAAAACAAACACAGCGGTATCATCCTCACAACAGCAAAGCGCTGTGACACTGACATGCTGCTATCTGCTAAAAAGGAAGGGAAAGGGGGGGGGGGGGATCTTCATGACTTCAAATGACCTTGTTATCCCTGTTGGGATCAGACTAAGAATACCCTCCCTGTTAGCTTTCCCTGGTCAGGTTTCATGTGGGGAGAAACCAAAGGCCACAGCGTTTCCTTTCTGTTCAGTTGAGAGCTGCTGGTTTAAGAAGGTTAACGCTAGAGAAGAAGCACACTCAACAAACCTCCAACTAAAAATAACACTGAAAATCCTGTCAATACTGTTGTAAGTAAAGGCGAATAGACAGATGAGGTATACAACGGGTTGCGACTTAAATAAGGTGGGTCAGGCTAAGAACTGGACTACTATATACTATATACTAGTGTTGCAACAGAGACAAGTCTGTGTAAAGTAATAATAAATATGATTTCTGAGTTTCTCACACCAAAGCAAAAAGTGTTATTATCCGCCCTGCCAAATTTGAATTCAGGGGGATGGGAGGATGAAGTTTGGGGCGGGAGATGGTTGGTTCGGCCCCGTTCACCAGTGACAACGGATTATCCGTGAATCCCAGTCACTGCAAAGGAGGGTGTTGGTGGTGATTCTCACCTCTCCATCAACATAGCTCTTCACAAAATTGGTCCACCTCTTTCTCAGAGCATAATCCTTCAGAAATTTAAATAAAGTGACCGAGCTGATTTCTCACATCCAGGGAAGATGCATTTGCGGGATGTTGAAGGCGTACTGCATACTGCAAACGTTTGTAATAGTCTTGTAAAGAAACAGTTGTAATAACTAACTGTAACTGTAAGTACGTTTTTGTACCATTACTGTGTTAGGGGAGAGGTTATGCTAAGTATGGCTCCAGAGTGTCATCTAGCCCCGGCAAAAGAAATCCGGAACCGAAAACTGGTGAAAAATAGTTTAACGGTCTAAGTCCACAATTCAGTACTACATAGTTCACAGTCTTTTATAATGTTTTCAGCAATTATTTTATGACATGTATAATGTGTTCAGAGTTAAATCACTGAATTTCCTTTACAATGACTTTAAAGCAGCAACAAGAACTTTCATTTTGTGTTGATTTTGGCGGCCCCTTTGGACAAAGAGCGGTAGTGTTTCGGCTGCCTTGTTTCATTGGTTTCTAGGGGAATCCGACCTGATGGCAGGCATTAAGAATAACTTCATGTGATGGTATAGATGATGGTAATGTTTATTTATGTAGGTCATATAGAGGCATTCCCTGGCAGCATTTTTTGTAGCATAGGGAGCGCTACATGTATGTACCATTATGGGTAAGTACTCGACATAGCTGGTGGTTTGTGGTTTTGGTTGGCTAATATAATAAACACAACATGTGTCATGCTGTAAGTAACTTTTTGATTTAAGTGCATAAATATAACCATAAGAAATCTACATTTTGTGACTTGCCAGATACGTTAGCACACTAGTTATCAAGCTATGTTGTGTGTGTGTACCATAATATTATCAAAATACTACAAAACTTTAACTATGATATCATTGTAATGTAATTTAAAATAAGTTTTGCATTTTCCCACCATTCAGGATTCAACAACAGTCAACAATAATTATTTTAAATGTTGTCCAGGTATGGAGATTTTTGTTCTCTAGCATTTCTAGCTGCGCCCCAACACAACAGGGATAAATCCAAGACTCCAATCCAATGACAACCATGGCTACCATTTTATATAGCTATAGTCCAGTAATTAACACTGGGTGTCTGTGGAAGGACATGGATGTGCTAACACGTGTTTGCCAGCGTGTACAGTCTGCGGACATGAAATTTAATGTTATGCTGTCCCTTGTTGACCGAGTATTTCTTGAAAGTGCTTGCCCTTTTCCAAACAGCTTCCAATGACAACTTCCCAGATTGTTCTGTGTAACTGATAAATTTCATACTTCAGTACTGTGAGCACTACCAATGAAATGGTATTCTTCTCCATTGTACTGACAGATATCTCAAAACCTGGAGGGGTTGGAGAGAACGTATGTTGTAATCTGGCAGAACAAACCTTTAATTAAAGGTTTTCCAAGGGAACAAGCAGATGAGCAAGTGCTTGACTCAGGCTTCAATCTGACTGGAGGAAGAGCTTCAGCAAACTTAACCACAGTTTCTGGTCTTGGGTCACTGGGTCTGTTTGGCTTCTGTTTCCACCTTTGGTCCACTTGTTGGTCTGTTCAAGTTGGGTTTACATACATACACAGCTGGGTCTACTTTTGTTGCAACTACAAGATTTGATCCCCAGCTCCACCTGCCTACAACCCAAGTTGCCGATCTTGCATGGTAGCTTGCTACCATTCGTGTGTCTATTTGTGTATGTCAATGTGGGACTGAGTCGCAAATAGTATAACGCTTTGGATAAAAGTGTTATATAAATACAGCCATTTGCTATTTATAATAAAGCTGGGTGAGAACTTATTCCGAGCTTTCCTTTACTTGGGACACGGCATCACTTATTAGTTCACCATTGTGGGAAACATGCTTATCTGCTTTCTTTCTAACAGCGAAATGAGGAGATATTGAGCTCATGGACTGAGCTGGAATCGGTATGTAGTTAGCCTAGCTGAGCGTAAAGACTGGAAGCAGGAAAAAAAGCTAGCCTGGCTTTGTCCAAAGTTCAAAAATACACCCACTGACACCTCTAGAAATCACTGATTAACTGATTATACTAAAACAGAAATGTAAAATTTGGTCTTATCGTGCCTGCACAGAGACAAAAAAAACCTTGCTCAGATGCCATATCTGGCAATTTGTGCTATAGCTGGAGACATAAAACATACATACATCACTGAGTGCGCATGCACCGACAGTGCATGCTCCCTGTTTACAGTTAACAAATTTGCCTCCGGGGATCAATTAAGTATTTCTGATTCTGATTCTGATTTTGGTATACCAACCAGCCATAACATTCTGAGCAACTGAGCACCCTGGTTCTCATAATGTTCTGCAGCCCCTGACCCTGTCTCTGGGTCTTTTCCTTCCTTGGAGCACTTTTGATAGGTACTGACCTCTGCAGACCGGGAACACCCCACAAGAGCTGCAGGTTTGGAGATGCTCTGACCCAGTCATCTAGCCATCACAATTTGGCACTTGTTAAAGTCGCTCAGATCCTCACACTTTAATTCAGATTTGCTGGTACAAACATTGCGTAATCCTTTATATCCCTTAAACATATGTTAAAACGTTAAAAAAATATTATTTAATGCTGGGTTTGCACACAACTTATTCATTTTAGAGCATGAGATAAGTGAAGTGTGCACACAAATGTGTTTTTTATTTTCTCTACACCTTACAGGCTTGGTACAGGTGCTCTCAGACTAACATTAAGCTAAAATGTATTTACACATAGTTAAGTACATATGCATATAGATATAGCTCAATGTGACGCGAAAAAAAAAGGATTCTGTAATTAGAATGAGAAACTTTCTCAAAATATTGACTTAGTATCTGAGAAAGATTCTTATTATGATGATTTACAGAATCCTTGTTTTCCCTGTCACATTGGCGGAAATGGGCCTCCATACAAAGAGGATAAAGATGGTCAGCAAACTTGTGGGGGTCTCATGAGGGCTTCACAGACGGGTCCAAAGCAAGCATGTACCAAACAAGAGTTTATTATCAGTATTTTAATGTACATTTATTACACATTTTAAATAAATATTCCATCCTTAAAATTATTTTACACATCCTCAAATAAAAATATATTTATATATGTATAAAAACAGACATTCAGGGGGGCAACAAGACCACAAGAGGGCAGGGGGCAGTGGGTGTGTTGAGGGGTTCCTTACACTTCAATGCATTTTGTACACGTCAACATTACAGAACAGGAAACAGGAACAGGAAACCTGTGATTATCAAATGTAGCTGCCACATTGTTCCATCAGACGCTGTTGAAGCTCTGTTTCACTCGAACCGTGTGAGAAAGATACAGAATGATCCCAGTCGGGATGCAGCATCTAGCAGAACACTCGCTCTCCGACGCAGTGTGTGACAGTTTGTGTCTCCGAAGCGCAGCGTTCCCTGGCAGTGCGGTCAATCAGGGCCCTTCAAGTCTCCTTGAGCAGCAGGCGAGAGTCCAAAAAATGACTCCACTGGTCAAAATGAAACAAAAAACTAAACCAAAACAACACTACTAACATGTCCCCGGTAAGTCAGACGATGAGTTATGTGCATCTAAAAACAAACTTTTCTTTTTGTTTTTGTTTTTTACACAGGTCAGTACTAAGTCTGGAGTACAAAAATAGATTTCTCATGTTTGTTTTTTTTTGTTTATGTACAGTTTTTTTTTACTTTGAGAAAAATAGAAATCAAACTACACATTAAGATATAGTAATGCTCAGTATAAAAAATGTCTCTAGAGGTTTTCTGTGAGAGCAGAGGAGTGTGTCGGCTGCTGGTAATTCAGTCAGTCAGTCAGTCAGTTTCTCCTCTTTCCCTCTGTCTTTCCTATCTTCTTCCCCCTACTCAACGCTCTGACGAGTATCGCGTACGTTTAGTCCTTTGACTGAAGGGGTAGTGGATGAAGTCGAAAGGGTGGTGGTGGCTTGGGTGGGCGGGCTGCTGCCCCTTCGGCAGCCTCTTCATGAAATGGACCTCGCGCTGGTGCTGGCGTGTCCGTGAGCCTTTCCGTGGCCGCCCGCGGCGGGTGAAGGCCATGTACCAGCTCTCGTAGCGGGCGTTCCTCAGGGCCGTGTAGTTGTTCTCCAGAACGATCTCAGTGAAGATACAGTCGCGGCCTTGTCCGTTTTTCTGCAGAGACACACACAGAGAAAAACAGTCAGCGGGAATGTTCAGAGCGGACTCCTCGATGAACATTTACAGATGGGAAATATCAGATGTATAAAGGTTTCCCTGTGCAGCCTGTCCCCTGCATGCACACACACTCACACACACACACACATAGCCCTCCCCTCATACATGCAGCATATGCTACAGTCATTACAGATCAGAGAGAGGGGGATGACAGTAAGCGATGACTCTTCTCCCCCTTCAGAAAACATCCAGCAGCCCTTGTGGGTCAGTAGCTGTAGGACGAATCCTCCCGCCATAAAGTCTTAATCAGCCCCCAAGTGTCACTTTCACTCCTGGTTTGATCTGCTGTTGCATTTGAGGCTAAATTTAACCGACCAGGTCAGCTTGAATTGAATAACAATCAATAGACTCTGCTGTGTTCTGTTAAGGCCTCATTAGACAACAGTGCAGCTCAGGGATGAGACGGTAAATTATTACACTTTCTCCCGTGATAAAATGTACAGTAAGGTCAGCTGACACAGTATTAGCTGGACTAGCCTACTGTAACAAGCTCCAACCTTCTTGGACAAATAAGTGTGTTAAAAATAGTCATGATGATACACCCATGTGCATACACCCAAAAGACACACTCTCTGTTCATTCTTTCTCTCTACAACACACACACATACACACACACACACACTGGGGCCGGGGCAGGCTGTGACTGGGCCGGTAGCTCGGGGCAGATGGTGTACGAGGCAGGGTGCTGGGTGGGTGGAGGGGAGTGTGTGTGGGGGGGCTGCAGAGAGGCTGGCAGCTCTGTTTATTAGCCGTCACAGTGAGAGAGGGCCACTGAGATAGCCTGAAACACACACCTACACACTCACATAACAGCAGCAGCAGCATTAACTAAACCCTGACCTGCACCTTATGTTGTAGCCTGTAATATATCATATAGCTAGCATTAGTCTCCATTAGCCTCTTATCACTCATACTCGTTGTAGGAGCATGAAGGAAAACACCTTACATTATCTAGCTGCTCGTGACCACATCTAGCTGCACCAAACACACACACACCTTGGAGGTTACACTTGTGCAACATGCTAAGAATATAGCATAATATGCTACCATCTAAAAAAAGCCAAGTGGATTTGAAGATATGCTGTGCAGCTTGGAATTATTCTTTAATTAATAATTGTATTATTTTTTTTTTTAATTAATTTTAAATTAATAAATTAATGCTTTGAATAAAGGAAGCTCACAAATATATAGTTTAGTTCTAGAAAGGAGCTCTGTAATTCCCTAAAACAGCTGGGCACTGTGGATTTTAGTGTTTTAACGTCACTCAAACAGGAGGAAATGGTGCAATTTGTTGGGGACTATTTTCAGCTGTGGACTAATACACATACGGTAAGAGGAATGTGCTTTATCAGGGTTTTGCTAGTGAGGACCCAGTCGATCTGTAGAAAAATAGCTAATTCTAACGTGACAAAAAGACAATGATGTTGATGATTAATTTCAGGTGATTATACTCTAATGAAAACAAACCTACGAATATTATATTCCATTTCTGCCAATAGATCCTCCTAAATGTTACACACTGGACTTTAAAAGGGATTTGTTGCGATTATAGATAGAGAAAAATAACAAAAAATATATATAATATTACCAACCTCATTGTTTGAAGTATCATAAACACATGTAAACTGATGGATTATTTTGGAAACTAAACTATCTACCTGTGTCTTATCCAAAGTAGTCCCCAGCTAATTCAAAATTGTGTAAATTTGCTCTGTTTACTGTGAATTTGACCTGTCTTCAACACAAACCTCCTAGATTCAGCTGCAGATTCTAGGCCTCGATATCTTATTCTTTCCCTTTTCACAATATGACGAATGGATCATTTTCTTTTCTCTGCACTCGAGGTTGTCCTTCACGAGACAGTCCATGAGACATACACTCAATCCTCCTCCGACTAAGGTTCTATGGTTGCCACCCTTTCGCCTCTGATTCTGCTGTTTGAGCTTTTTCTCCTCACCTTGCCGATGAGCTTCCCCCTCTTGTTCATGCAGATGTAGAAGCCTGTCTCAGCTCCCTTGATGCGTACTCTGCTCCCGAACGTGTCCGTTTCCACGACGAGTTTAGCTGCAGAAATCAAACCAAAAGAGTTTTTTTAGCAAACACAGCTGAGAACAGGACGGTCGGTAAAAGGTTAGCGTGATCTTTCGGTGCCTGTCCCAAATGAATGACTTAACAGTGCACATAAAAGCATCGACAACACAAGCAGAAATGCTCAAGCGTGCTTCCAAGCGTGCACACTCTCTCTCCTCGCACACACTCTCGTACAGCCGAACACGTGGGACCATTCCTGGGGATTTATGCGAGCTGGAATTCTTGCAAAATGATAAAACCACGTGTCTCTTGATTCTTTGAAAGCTAAAGAGGCGATCCTGGCAGGCCCATCAAGAATTCCTTTAAAAATAAATCTGCATTGACCTCACACATAAAGCTCCACATTTGTCTCTATATCCCGGGAAGCAGCGAAAGAAACAGGAAATACGGACAGTTGACAGAGCATGACTTTATGGAGCTTTGTACAGTTTTTACATTGCTCTTCAGCGAGGTAAAATAACAGGACAATGTAGGTGAGTTTTACTACTATTGGCCTTTTGCAGAGTGACAGATAGTGTGTATCTTCAGGTCATTAACAGTCTGGTGTGTTTGCACTGCTGTGATTCGACAGTCTCGTGGATATTGATCCGGAACATTTACAGCCAATGGCAGACCACTTTTTATAAATTCCGTTTCATTCCACATTGTCTCATAAAACCGGTTCCAACAGGGTTACTGGGGTCACTGAGGATGGTCAGGGCCTTTTCCACCCACCCACTGACTAACCACTACACGTCTGAGAGTTACAGTTGTGGTCAGAACCAGCAGTTACAGCTGAGCTGGATGAGTCTGTCAGACATGGGAGAGATTTCCCCTTTCACACTTTTTCTCTCATTTCATACAAAATGACTTCAGGTGACCTGAATAGCTTGCACACACCTCTTTTTGAGGCCACATGTGCACCCTGCAACAGCTGAGCCCTGTGCAGGCAGCAGCAACAAACGCTTTATCAGTAGGTTCTTTATGGAATTCAGATCACTATAAATACAACAAAAAGTGTGGGCCTGACCGGCTGCAAAGCTGGATGAAGAGTTCTGAGGCTGGACGGAGTGGGGTTGAAGGTGGGGGGGCGGTGGAGTGGGGGGGAATGAGCTATGCAGGAAATGTTCGGGAGGTAGAAGTAAGATGACTTCTAATGGCTCTTCCAGACCCGCAGGATCTCTGGAGGATCACCTCCAGCACCATCTACAATCCACCGGACAGTTTCTCTGAGCCTCTTCCCCTCCAGCAGCACAGACTGGGATCACAAATTGCCCAAACAATGACCACCGGCACCACCACACTGTTTGGTTAAATGGGGTCAAGAAAATGCTGATGATAAGAGGTTTCACTTTAGTCTGGAAACTGTAGCATCTTGGTGCAAGATGGCAGAAAGTATATGAACAAATTCTGCAAATAAGCTGATTTACATTAGGAACACTTTCTCTCATTGCATTTGGTCATTTACATATCTTTATGTAAAAAATGTGACTTTTAAGGTACTTTTTGATTATTTTTCAGATATTTTGCTCTTTAAATGCTTCAGGCCTAGGATTGCTGCACCTATCTCAGTATCAGTTTAATTCCATTAGAATATTGACCTTGAGCCATTTTAGGGAAAAACAACGTTGGGAATAATTTCAATGATAAAGCAAAAAAAAATTTCGGAAGTATGCTGGAAAACTCAATTGTACAAAAAAAATAAAAAATTTAAAATATAGAAATTAAAATGTAAAATAATATAAATGAAGTGGCCAGCCGGGGTAGAATGTGAAACGGTTTTTAATGATTTGCATGGCGGAATTTAATAAAAACTGGGAACGTGGAAATTTCCGTTCGCTGAACGGACAGCGAAGTGCACAAAGTCAAATAGTTCTCTTCAGGTGGCCTTATTGGAAAATAAAGGTAAAATGTATTATCTAATTCAAGAAAAATAATGGAATTATTTGAATAAGAAAACAAATGAATGAAAGATTTAAAAGCGTTTTTAGGGGGGTTTCAGTGCTGGGTACCACTGGGATTCTCTTACCGTGCACGTCTCCGTCGTCGGCCATGGCGTTGATCTTCTTGTTGGGCAGGACCTGCACATGCTTGCCGCTGGTCCGGCTGTACAGCTGGTAGATCCGGATCAACCTGCGGCTCACGCGGTCCGTCACTTTGCTCTGCTCGCTTACATGCTGCGTGAAATTAGGCGGGGACTGATTGGTTACCTGTCAGAAATTAGATGTCACCACAATCATCAGTACGTGTACATTTGTCTTTTTAGTGCGTGTATTTATTTATTTTTGATCATTATTTTGCAAAAAAAAAGGGAGGAAAAGTGAGGACTGAAGCTGAGAGTGAAGCCAACTGTGTGTCCTCTGGTAGGAAATGGTTTAAACACAGAGGGGAAAGACATCCTAACGCAACAACAGCTTGTTGTTGTTTTTTTCCCAGAATGACAAGTGTAACAAGTTCCAGGAGAGCCGTAGCCAAATTAAATTAACAGCTTCCAAAAAAGACGCACGGTGTGATTACAGGTTGTGCGTACAGGAGAATGTGCGCCACACCAAAAACACTCCACGAACGGGGTGAAGTCTCCACTGTCTCATCCTCCAAACTATTTCAGCAAACTGAAACTTTTAGATTATTTTTTAAATTTCTCTTTACTCCGGCCTCCCTCTCTCTCCGCCGCGCGCCGCTGTGATGGAATGAAAGACGGGGACGTTGGCCCCGGTTACTTTCAACCCCACGACATTTTTCACAAGACTCGCAAAGCATTTCCCTCTGCCCCGATGCCCCGTCTGTGCCCGCGCGTCCCTGTGCCAGGGCCGGTATGTTCATCAGCAACCTGCCAGCAGGCCCGCGCGCCCCGCTGCCCGGCGCGCCGCGGGAGCCATCCCATATTGTTGTATCACATAATGTTATGATGATCCCTCACCTTTCCTCCTCTCCCTGTTACTGCAGCTCAAGCTTTGACTGCCATATGTTTTACAGATTTTTAAAATATATATATCCAATCCATATTTTAGCCCATAGTTTTTTTTATTTTTTTTAAAAGGCAACAGTTTGAAACATTTATGTAAAGAAAAGAAAGCAGTGACATACCTGAGCATAGTAGCAAAACGCAAATAAGTGTAGAAACCTGCGAAGGAGAAGAATAACATGCATTTAGTGAGTGCGCGGAGGAGCATTAACAGTGCGTAAAGGAGTGGAAGTGGCGGAGGAGAAGCACTCACAGATAGCTGAGTCTGGATGGGATGGGTCGCATGTTGGATGGAGGCGGATGAAGCTCTTCCAGTTGATTCAGAAGCTGCAGAGTCCGGCTGATCTCGTCAGTAAAGGAAGTCCAAAGATTTCACCCGAAATCCACAGAAAGGTCAGAGGTGCTGACGGATAAACTCATGCGCGCACATTCATCATCAAATCCATCACAGGCTCCGCTGAGTCATTAAGTTCTCATGAAAATAAAGACTGTTTCTGCGAGGAGGGAACAAAGTCTAAGTGCACTTGCAGAAGCGGAGCTGTACGTTGAAGGCGCTGCAGGTTTTTTGTTCTTCTGTGTTTTTTTTAAGTTGCTGTCAGGCTGTATACCTCCGGGTTTGTAATCCCTGTGGTGCTCTGCGGCCTTCAGGTGTGTGTGTGTGTGTGTGTGTATGAGTGTGTGATCCCGCTCGCAGAGGAGACTGGTCTGGCTCCTCAGTGCCTCTCGATGCTGCTGCTGCTCCGCTCGGTTGTGTCAGGACTGCAGGCAGGCTCCTCTCTCTGCTCCCATCCCACTGCGCTCCCGTGTCAAGCCTCTCGCTCGGCGCTTCGCAACACCCCCGGTCAAAAAAATGGCAGGCTGATCTGCTTAAGAACAAGCCCCCTTTTTCTGCAGAACAAAAGCGGACGCCCCCCCCCTTCCCCCCCCCTCCCTTGATTTAAAACATCTCTTTACCTGAGGAGCGGTCCTACACCACTTGGAGGGGTGAGAAAGAGGCGAGGAGGAGCCTGGGCTGTGGCCCCCAGCGCGCACTCTCTGCCCACCACAAGTCCGTGAAAAAAAACACACACTAAAATAGAAAATGAGCTCCTCTCTTCGTGATCATACACAGTTGTGAGTGCATCAGCTGTAACCCCATGACCCCCGCACACCCATCTCCCCATCCCTCCTGTCCGTTAATACTCCGCAACTCCAGTTCTGGGATGCGCTCCCGGCTCAAGCTTTGTGTATTGACAGAGCAAAGTGTGAGACATATTAAAAGGATTACAGGCGATTAGCGTTTTTAAAACACCCCCTCCCTTCATTTGATAAAGAGAGCGACCTCTCCTGTTTCTCAACCGCGGAGACAAACAGGCTTTTGAAGACTCATTCACGGATTCATCCCGAGTAACGCATGAAGTTCTGAGCGGAGCTGCCGAAGGTGACAGAGTGAAACATCAAGTCCGGCAGACATGGACATTCACACCTCGCTGACATTAAACAGGTTTTGTTTTTGACATGAGAGACATTAATTATCTGCAAACCGCGCCCATTATCAGTTAGACCTTATTGATTGATTTGACCATTAATTAGACTGCTCGGTATCGGCCATCAATAAGGACACAGAAACTCAGCGCAGTCTGATTAATAAACATCATTTAAGGTGTCGTTAAATTAGCAGTGAAGGCTCGGAATGGCCCATTGAGGACATCACTCAACTCTGTATGTAGTGTAAAAGCAGGACTGCTCCAGGACGGAGGGGCAGGGCCAGCAGGGCAGGAGCCAAACAAAAGGAGGGTCATGTTTTATTAGCAATACTTTCTTTAGGGTAACCTGCACATCTGCAAAATTATTAATAAAACATGTTCACATTGGTTTAACTGACGTCTCAAAGAGCCTCAGCCTCCCCACCGCGGGGATGGTTTCACTGTCAGCCTGTAATGCAGGGTTGAGCCACCAGTGGGCGCTCCAGAGGAGATATTAGGTGTATATTCTGAGCCCCCAGTGTCCTTGATGGCGCAGTGTGACAGCATTAAAGACAGTGCGGAGCTGCGAGTGGAGCTGTGCTCTGTCTGTTATCTGCTGCACTGACAGGCTTCATGTTGTCAGATGGTTTGTTTTTCTCTTTCCTTCCCTCCCTCCTATTAGCATTAGTGTGTGTGTGTGTGTGTGTGTGTGTGTGTGTGTGTGTGTGTGCGCGCGCGCGACAGAGGATACAAGTTAAATATGTAAAGACATGAAGTGGATCAGTGTGTGTAAGACGATGTGCACAAGAGTGTTGGTGTTTGACAAAAAACTGTATAAAAGCTAACGGAGTGTGTGTGTGTGTGTGTGTGTGTGTGTGTGTGTGATGAGCGGCAGGTAGCTGCCACTCTGTACCCTGGCTCAGGGCCGGGCTGCCCTCCCCTTAACCCCAGGAGCCCTGCATCCATCAGCAGCCCTGCAGGGGGCAAACACCCTTCCCCCTCTGCTCCTGCTCTCCCTCTTTCTGTCCCTCCACTCATGGCCAGAGCTCCTCCAGTGTGGGGTTATTGAAAACATATTTTTACACTAAAACTAAAAGAAAAATTCATATTTGACAGCATGTATGCCAGAAAAGAGTCAAATATTCTACATAATTATATAGAGAAAATGTCTCTAGAATGCATTTGGACCATCATGCGACATTTCAGTTTTATACCTTTAAGCTACTAGTATTTTGCATGCTTTCGCCCAGTTACGACCAACTGGTTATGCCTTAGGTAAACATTTTTAAGCTTTAGAGTTGGTTTCCATTGATTTTATGGCAAAAATCACCTTGCAGCAGCTTGAAACTGACCTTAGATAAACTGCAAACATCATTAGTGAATTCAAAGTTACACGATGGCTGTGTGTTAATGCAGTGTGAGGTGGAAACCGGCACACATGATTGAAGTTTAATCTTAAAGCAAATTGACTTTCGCACTGTAGTGAAGTGAAATAAAACTCAGCAACATCTCTTTCCATGATCCACAGGACACGCTAAAACTGTTTACACTGGGACTATTTCTTCAGTCATTCCAATTAAATGTGTGCTCTCCTCCTATTATAACTTCCCTTTCTTTAATTCACTACCTCGGTTACACCTCTCTCTCTCCCTCCATCATTCCTGCTCTGCATTCTAATGTGCAGCCATCTGCCACCTCCTCTCCTCCCTCTGCTCTTCCTCCTCCCTCCATCGTCTCTCTCTCTTACCCTCACCTCTCTAAGCTGAGGGGGACGTTAGTTTGAGGGTCTCTGTAAGCTTCACGGACGAACTTCAATCAAATCAACGAACGTAGCCAAACTTTTACATAGGATGCTGACTGGTCTGCATCACTGTGGTTGGACATAAGGGCATAGATTGAATCCCGGCAGGATGGATCCACACACAGTCTTGCGAGTCCAGCTGTTTCGCAAAGTTTGGGCTAAACTGTTACGGACTACTGGTGCTATATGCGTATAGCCTGAGAGGTTAGCGTAGCATGATGATGCTACTAGCATCAGAACTTCTTCATTGAAGAGCAAAGAATGACACTGGCTTTACTCCAAGGAAAATATGTTTTCTCTCTTCTCCTGGCTTCAGTAGGAGTTTGATTACATTATATGGTTCAGTGATTTGACTGGTTGAAGTTCACCTGTGATAGACAGTGATATACAGATAGTTCTGGCAAGTATTCCTTTAAAAGTGCCGGTCCTTTTCCAGTTTACAACGACAATGGTTCTGTGTAACAATCCCTCCGGCTGCATCACACTGCCCCCCAGATCTCTCTCTAACAACTCTGTGTCTTCATAGCCTCAATGCGTATAAAGGGGCAGCACACACTTTCAGACAGTCTCTTCTTGGAAGCATTCATACCTTGTAAAGGTCAAAAGTGAATGACAGTGGCACAAGCCGTGCCAAAAAAATCCACAGCATCATGTTGTAGTGCATCATTTCCTGTCTTCTGGATCTCAACCAGGATAAGCTGGATCACTTGTCTTTGACCACTTTTCTCGGATGTACTTCAGAATGGTAAATGGTAAATGGACCTGTACTTGTATAGCGCCTTTCTAGTCTTCTGACCACTCAAAGTGCTTTTACACTACAGCCACACATACACAGTCACACACTGATGTACAGCATCGGGAGCAATTTGGGGTTCAGTATCTTGCTCAAGGATACGTTGACATGTGGCAGGAGGAGCCAACAACCTTCCGATTAGTGGAAGACCCACTCTGCCTCTGAGCCGCAGCCGAATGTCTGGCAATGAAACCCCATCGTGACATTTGATTCCCTTAGCACACACGAAGTAGTCGAGGTACAGTAGCAGAGGTGTGATGAGAACATGTGATTAATTTGTTCCTTTTCTGGAGAGTAGACACATGTCTAAACAAGACTGGTGAGTAGGATTTTACATGAAAAACAAAAGGCAGTTTGTTTTGACATGCATCATTCAGTGCTGGCTAAAATTTCTTGGAAAGCGAATCACCTTCATTCCATAGCAAATAATTAGGGCTGAATTTTGCTTTGTGGCGCACCTGTTCAATGGGTTCTAACCCTAAGCTGCTTTTATACTTGGCCAAAGCTTAAGGTAGAACTTAAGGTAGTGTGAGAGCGAAATCTCAAAGAACAAGAAAAAAACAAAAAAAGCTGACATCCAAACGTGTGCTCAAGCAGGCTTCTGCACCAAGTACAGGTGTTTCTGTGTTTGGAGAGAGATGACCTTGAACTTTGCCTCTCCTTTTGCCAATTCTCCATGGTGGAGAGGTCACGTGACTCAGATCTGTTTGGTGACACCTGAAGTTCATTGTATGTTGATCTGTACATATGACGTCTATTAGATGTCTGTCTGTCCTGGGAGAGGAATCCTTCCTCTGTTCCTCTTCCTTAGGTTTATTACCTTTTTTACTCATTGACTGTTTTTGAGTTTTTCCTTATTTGAATTGAAGGTCTACAGATAGACGATGTCATATGCCATACATATTATATAGACCCTAGAAACAAATTATATTGGGCTACATAGATAAAAAAAATATATAAACTGACTTGACTTCTAATGAACTTAACAAAATGATAAGTTGAATGCATTTTAAATGGATGGATGATGCTGGAACCAGGTTACCAGGTTCTCCTGAATTTGGATATTTATAGTTTAAGCTGGTCCAAATAAGAAACACAAGTTACTGTATATACTGAATATAACTCAGTTTGAACTGAATTTAATACTAACCTTCTTAACTCTCAAACAATGCACGCTGGGAAGTCCCATACCTTGAGTGAAGTCTTACTGGTTCATTCATTCAACTAAATATTTGAAATGAAAAGACTTCAAGTCTCTGAAGTGGTCTGAAAATAAATAAGCTGAATTATATTAATAAAACTTCAATATTTACATTGAGATAAAGATTTTTAAAAAGATTTGTTAATTCTACTAAATTCCTGTGAATGGTATCATACAATACGGTACACAAAACTGTGAGTATAGATATTTAATGAATTGTTAGTCCTGAATAACTAGAGGACTGTGCATCATACAGTATAACAATGAGCTACTAGAGAACAGACTGGGAGATACAATATTAATGATTTGTGTGATTTTCTTTTGGTGATATGTCTCAATAAAACACAGCTGCTGTCAGGTCACTTCAATGGTGAGTCGTGTTCTGTTGTTCTGCTTTTCCTCAAAAACATTTACATCCATCCAAATGATAGACAGAGCCAGAAGTCTCAAGTAACTTTGTGGTCCTCCAGTCACTTTCTCAGAGCCCAGTCATTAGGTGTGCCTTCAACTGTTTATCCATCTGGATGGAGAAACAGAGAGAGAGAGAGAGAGAGAGAGAGAGAGAGAGAGAAGAGAGAGAGAGAGAGAGAAAGAGAGCCTGGCATCTATGAACCTACAGA